TGTTTATGCTTAAAAGTAAGTGCAATTTATAAGCAGATCAACAAAATTATTTCCACATCACCTGTGAGATAGTGTTCCTAGTGTGTTTTAGTTTCCCCTGGAGGCTTAATCCACTATCTTTACAAATAAGAACAATTTAAATCAAAATAATAATAAAAATACATTTACCAATCAACAACAATTAAAGAAGAAACGAAATTAACGTTACGTAATTGTTCAAAATGCGATCCATCCACATCGATACATTTCTGACAACTTCTATTGATGATTAATGGAATTACCTAACTAATATCATGTGGTGGTTTTCTTTTAATTCATTACACCCGTCTTCTATTCGCTGCAGTAGTTGTGGTCTTGTGTTTCTTGGAGTAGAATAAACTTTACTTTTCAGATTGTCAAACATAGAAGTGCAGGGGGTTTAGATCTGGCGATCTGGCTGGCCAAGACACTGGGTGCTCTGTACCATTATGGTTGACATTGGCATTTGGTCTTCTACCTATCCATCGTCTCGTATAATTTTCATTATGCCATTCTTGTATTATTCTCCTAAAATGCGCAGGAGCACCATCCATTTGTATCCAGCTATTTTGTTGTATATTTAATGGAACATCCTCTAATAATTCAAATAGATGGTTTTCTAGAAAGTTTAGAAATTACTGGGAATTTAGATGGGGTGACAAGAAGAAAGGTCCGAATTATTCCGAGCCACACTTTCACAGAAAATTCGTGTTGAAAAGATCTTGTCCGAATTTCATGAGGATTTTCTTGTGACCAAATATTGTGAAAATTCACCACCCCTCGCCTTGTGAACGTAGCCTCATTGGTCCAAAGTATTACTAGTAAGAATTCTGGATTATGTTGTGACTTTAAAACAACCACTAACAAAATTTAGATGTCTCTACATCTCCCGGAAGTAAATTTTGCACAGGTTGTAAATGGTACGGATTTGTACCATCCTTATGTAGAACTTAATTTTCGATTTACTCACCCCAATGTTCTTAAAATTTCATTTCTGTGCCTTTCATTGCGCTGTCGTGATTTTCCAAATATCGTTTTAATCCAAAAAGATGAAAGCGACGAGTGTAAAGAATTTTGTTGATGTGCTTACAAATTGCATTTACTTTTAAACATAAACATGAATATTCTTGTAATATTATGGTTCTGCCACAAGGGGATTGTATTGATATGAATAACTTGAGAACGGTGAACTTTAAAAAAATTCAAGTTACCATTTTTCCGTATTTTGTACATTAGAATATAAATCAGTTACAATAGCATGTAAAAAATACAGTGGCGTAGGTTTTTTTATAAAAAAGGGGTGACCCTGTCCAGTTGTACACCACTGGTCGATCCTTTAGAGCTTATATTTTAGGGAATGTAAGGCCTACTGCCATACATTATCTGTACCAAATTTTATTGAGATCGGTTAATAGATTCCGGCGATATAAATAAAAAAATATATTTTTTAACAACTTCAACACCCTGTATCTCTAAAACGAGGCCGTTCCAGACTTGTGTTTATAAGACAAACACCTATTATTTTAAAGAGATCTATCTGCCCTCGAAGTTTCCTGCATAAAATTCGGACCACCCTGTATTATAGTAATTATCACATACACATTCCACATAAATCTAGAATATCTATTACATTATTCTTCATATTACGTTCAGAAGAAGAAGCCAAGATTAGAAATCTTGATTAATATGTTCCTGAAAACAACAAAACTAACTTTCTCTACTTCTGCAGGTTCGAAAATTCTGAAGAAGGTGGAAGTGCCGTTTGTGAATCACACTCAGTGCCAGACTCTTTTGAGAAGTACCAGACTAGGCAAGCGCTTCAATCTTGACAAGTCCTTCATGTGTGCTGGCGGCGAGAAAGGACGAGATGCTTGTATGGGAGACGGAGGTAGCCCTTTGATGTGCGCCACACATCTGGGGAGCGATCGGTACTTCCAAGCTGGAATGGTATCCTGGGGCATTGACTGCGGTACAGAAAACGTACCAGGGGTCTACACAGACGTCCCAGAAGCCGTGGAATGGATAAAGAATGAACTCAATAATAGACAATTGTATCTTTAGTATTTTTGTTACTGCAATCTTAAGAGGAAATATAAATAAAACATCTTTGTGAAATTTAACTGGAATATCTGCCAAAAAATTATTTGTACCAAATCCTTTACGACGACTTTTGTGCCCAAACCATCACCGATAATGACAACAATAAAGGATCGAGATTATATCCCTGTGGAACTCTCGATTATGTTAATAACCTATAATCAGTATACGANGTTGTCAAAAAAAAATTGATTTTTTGTTTATATCTCCGGAATCTATTAACCGATCTCAATAAAATTTGGTACAGATAATGTATGATAGTAGGCCTTATATTCCCTGAAATATGAGCTTTAAAGGTTCAACCAATGGTGTACAACTGGTCAGGGGTCAGCCCCTTTTTTACAAAAAAAACCTACGCCACTGCATTTTTTACATGTCATTGTAGCACAAAATACGTAAAAAAGGCGACTTTAATTTTTTCCCTAAGATTCGCCGTTCTCAAGTTATTCATACCAATACAATCCCCTTATGGCAGACACTTCTAACGATAATATTACAAGAATATTTGTTTATGTTTAAAAGTAAGTGCAATTTGTTAGCACATCAACAAAATTATTTACACTCCTTTCTACACCACCTATGAGGTAGTGTGCGATATAAACAAAAAATCAATTTTTTTTGAAACCTCAACACCCTGTATCTCCAAAATGGGACCGTTCCAGACCTATGTTTATAAGGCAAACACATATTATTTTAAAGAGATCTATTTAACCTCGAAGTTTCCTGCATAAAATTCGGACCACCCTGTATGTGTATGTTTCTAACCACGAAAATTGAATAATACCAAATATTTCGAATTTTCACCACCAAGAACGGCGGTGACAACTTTTTTGACAGTAAGGCGATGTTTTGCAATGTAGTAGCTATGTCCTGTCCAAATCTGTTAAGTGCAACTCTTTTGGTTTAGAAAATTCAATACCTATAGTCCCTAAAACCTTAACGCTGTCCTCTAAAACGATTGGGTTTAGTGACTTTTACCAAGTTTATTTTTTTATGTAGAATTGAACTCAAATTAGTAATTCCTAACTAAAAACTCAAATTTTCGAAGAGCAAATAAGTTACCATTTCCTAATTGTCATCTTAAATATCATGGATGTGCAAATTTTCAATATAATTCGTATAGAGGCACACATAAACAAACAAAAAATGACTTTTGACTTTAACCCCCTGTCGAACGAAGAGGGCAGTATTCGAATAGGACATAATCAGTCCATGTGTAATAATTTGACGTCAGAAATCGTCTTTTAGGATATGTACTATTATTAATGAATCACCCTGTATTTGACTTTCAGATTATTTTCTCCCAGTAGGATTTTTTTCCCAAATAGTACTCTAATTCGTTTTTGTCGCGCAATGGTAAGAAAATCATTAAAATAAATAAAAAATACGGATATTTTTTTTAATTCGATCTAATTCGATTCTAATCGATCGATAGCCGCACGGTTTAAGGCGTCAGTACTTAAATCGTGTGCAAATTTCTGCCCGGGTTCGATTCCCGCGGCCGGTAGACCGTAGATTAGCTATGCT